AAAAACAACAAAAAACAAACAAACAACAACAACCCCCCCCCCATTCCCCTTAAAAGTAAAAACGACCCCTAAAATAGACATGAGCTATTGTGAGCCCTGTAGTCCAGACCTCAGAGGTAACAGTTGTATACATCCACAGAGTTTTCATTACATTTATTGGGATTTGACTGTTTCCCCACAGACGCTCTATCTCCTTATCTATTATTGCTTGGGCTGCCACATGCTTGGGGCCGTTCTCCATTCTTTTCAGTTATTCTGTTTTGTTATTAGGGCTGAACTTACTCTCTCAAACTGGACTACGCACATAATAGATGTGCCCTAGCATGTCTTTGAGGCTCGAGAGCATGATAGTGATTATGATTGGTTCATAATAATCTGATCAGACAGCTTTTTGGGGTTCTCGTGGCCTAGAGGTTAAGGTATTGGCCTCTCATTCAAAGGTCCCGGGTTCGAATCCGGTAACGACTGAAAAATTTTCTTCTCTTAAATTGTCTCATTTCACCTCCTTTCTTGCTCTCTAGCAATGTTCTATCGTCTGCTTTCGTCTCCTATTTCTGCCCCCACCCCTCACCTCCTTTGCCCCTCCTCTGGGCCCCTGACTCTTTCTGCAGCCTTTCAGCTGCTACTCGATGCCTCCTTCTTACTGCTGTCTTTGAGCCACACCCCTGATCTTCTGGTAGGAAAGATCTACACCTAGCCTTCTCGGTCAAGGGCGAAAAATCTCGGAGAGCCCGTGTGCAAGTTGCGAACCTGAAGGCTATCTCGCTTATTGGAGGACCAAATTTTATCAAATTTCACACATATAACAAGCATAGTAAGGAGTCTTAAAATCTGCAATCAAATTTGAGGAAAAAAAATGTTTCCATGGATACGGTGGCCATATTGGATTTTGTTGACATGTCTTACGTAATGAGTACCGCACTTATCGCTCATGGAAATTAATTGCGTTTTTGCATACGTGTTAACAAACATTCGATCTAAATATTTTTTTCTTTTGTTTTTTTCCCTAAACAAATAAGAAATTTCAAATAAATTTGTTCCTGAGGTACCATTCAAGTTTGCGAAAAATCCGTACAAATCCACACTCCAGACACTACCAACAAAAATCTGTTAGATATATAAAAAGTCTAACAGACAGACAAACTTTTAGTATTACATCTTCTCTTCATTGTGTGAAAATTTAATGAAGATTGGATGCATAATGGTGGATTTATTCAAAAAAGTATAAAGAAAAATCGCGTTTTGAGAAAACGGCCAATAAAGAAAAATAAAATATTGACTTTATGAGGAAATGGTGGGGACAAACGTGCCTGATATGGAAAGAAATAAGGAGTTTGGGGGTTCTAATGCTATGAAATAGTTGTAGGAGAGGCTGAGAAAGCTAAGAATGCCTACAACTCAAATTCCATAATTTTGAGCCGAATCGGGACTTTGGGGGTGTAGCTCCCCCCCCCCCCTTCAAAGATCCCTTGGTGGTCTAAAATCGATGAGAGTAGGCTTTGGCCGCCATCCAATTCAAAATCTCCTAAAAACTAAAATAGTTTAATGTATCCCGCGCGCTCATATGACCTTATGCAGTTGCGCGCCGTAAAACATTTACCACTCCCCCCCAAGAAAAAAAAAAAAAGGACAGCTTTCCTCACAGAACTGAGTTCATCCAGTGTTAAACTGTATTTCATGTAGATTCCTGGGGGAAGCATCTACTTATTGAAATAATCAGTTTCCCTTCCACAATTTGCGAACGTTGTCGTAGTCAAAATCATCCATAGGCTTTATAAATTGATTTTGATTTGGATAGACCTTTATGAAATCACGAAGGAGCCGTGTGACAACACTCATTGCCACTTAAACTAACCTCTTCCGCTCTTTTTGGGCCACTCTCATAAGCAGGCAACAGGCCCTCATTTTAATATAAGTTAGCAATCAGATTGGTCGAGTCTCCCTAAAAAGGTAAGAGGGACGAACTAAAAACTAAGCTTATGGCTGCTGTGGGTGCTTTTCCCATCGACTTTTTATCGCTCTATAATCAGTCATGGCCCGATTATGGCACTAACCCCTGAACACGAAAAGCGAGATCAAAACAGCTAAATTTGAAATTAAATTTTGATAATACGAGAAAGCATTCTCTCCTTTTTTCGCCTTTTGTTTATTTATTTGTATTTTTAATTCAAATTTTGCCCTAAAAAAATCCGGAGACCATTATGCCGACCGTAGGTTTAAAAGTTATAATTGCGTTTTTCCAATAGAGAGAATGATATTAAATGATGTATTTTTTCTAGATTGCTTTGCCGGGTGCACATAGTATGAGTTAGGGATTTATTTTCATTTGCAACTCGGTGACACCGTCTCCAATAAGAAATGTTGTTAACCATAAAGCACCTATTGTAGGAAGACTTTTCGCATGTGGCGCCATCTCATTTTGCCTCACTTTGATTACCTTGTCAAAAGTGTCCACTTTAGTTCCTCAGTACATGCATATTATTATGTGGCATTGAAAAAGCTGCAGACGCTCTGAAAGTGATTCCCTCTACCCCTCCCCCCTCCATTCACAGGATAAAAAGTGAAAGTAGTAATAATAAAAGTAATTTTTAGATATAGGGAAAGAGAAGTGAAAATTTCCCCAATTCATAAAATCTCTACACCCAGTCACCATATACTTTTGCTGAATGCCAAAACTATAGCCCTTGGTTCAATAAAAAGATTAAAAAGCAAATACGATAACCCAGGTGTGAAGCATGCATGGAAAAGTGGAGATTTAAACTAATCCTGATTATATTAGAAGCCTGAAACCTTTTAAAAGTGATCAATACATTTCTCACCTGACCTGCCCTGTTCGATTTACCGCCATCTTGCGATAGCCCTCAAAAGACTCCTTTCCTCTCTGTGGGAATTAATTAAAGTTGAAACTAATTATTTTATGTTCTGCATTGATTAAATCCTTCACCCACTAAAGTAACAACGTACTCATCTTCTGTATTTTGCTCATCGTCAGACTTCTAATTTCCCTGGAGGTGAGAGAAATTTGGAAATCTCTCAGAAGCAGTTGGAGAATCTCTACACTCATGAGGGAATCCAGGCCAAGGTCTACCAGACAGGTGTCAGGATTAAGGGTGGAGGCGTTTGTTACACCTGGGTGGAGGAGAAAACAACAACGTACTGAGTTTTTCTTACAAATTTTAATATTCAAACTTTCTTTCAATCAAGCGTTTCAATAGTTTCAAAGGCACATAAAGAACATTTGCACAGCCATAATATCTCAACAAAAATATTAAAAAAAAACCCAACAAACAATCTCAGTCATTTCGCACACAGAGTCGCCTATAGAACAAACATATTCGCCGGTTGTTGGTTTGTTTAACAAACGAGGAAACTTCTCCGCAGTATTTAGTCTTAGTTCTGACAAGGGCTTTACGGCATTTGCAATGCAATGATATCATATAAGCGTCGAAGACTAGAGTTGTTGTAAGAGAGTAACACATTTTTAAAAAAAGACAAAGAAGGAGGAGGTATCAGGACGATAAATGTTTGATAGGAAAGAAGGATTAATTAAAACCAGAGCATCCACTAACCACCCACCACTAAAAGTGTTCTTCACCCCTGTCGACACAATTTAGATGGACAGGAGACGATCTGCTTTCATCATCCTTGTTAAGGCTATATTATTATCCCAGACACTAGACACATTTTTTGGATTCTCTCAACCAGAATTATATTTTTACTATGACGGAATCAAGGTCACATTTATCATTGTATGCAAAGTTTACCTAAAATCTTAGCCACAGCTTCCACGAGATTCACGTGTGTCCCTTTCTTGTCCTTCGTCTCTGATTTCTTTTCGGGCAACACAAAGCTGGCGACCACGCAGTGACCTTGAGTGAGGAAACGCTCCAGTGCAACCAGGCAGGACGCTACCTTCTGGGGGAAAGTGCCAGCCACGATGGCGTCAGGTCCCAATGTCTCTATCACCACGCCAACATCGCCCACAGCACCCAACTGGACGGCCAGAGCTGTAAAAAAAATGTAAAAAGACAAAAAAAAGACAGATTAAAGGAAAGAAAATTATGCTATCACAACTTAAACAAAAATCTCGGATAAGAGTACCTTTAACACGCTGTATTGGTTTACGGTATGTGCCCAGCAATGATGGCGAATGTAACTCACAATGCATTTGAGTACCTGGAAACGTTAACTTATGTGAGTGCAAGGAAATGGCACGGGCGCACGCGCGCTCAAGCACAAACACACACACACACACACACACACACACACACACACACACACACACACACACG